GTAAGTAAAGATGGGGTTCGAGCAAATCCCTCGCTGATTCAAGATGTGCAGAGATGGCCAATTCCAGGAAGTCTCAAGGAGCTCCAAGCCTTTTTAGGGTTGACGAACTACTATCGCAGATTTGTGAAAGGGTACGCTGATATAGCTCGTCCATTGCACAGCCTCACACGCAAAGGTGTACCGTACCAATGGGGTGAAGAACAGGCGACAGCGTTTGAGGAGCTAAAAATTGCACTTACTTCAGCTCCAGTCCTTGCATACCCACTTGCTGAGGGTACAATGATTCTCGACATAGATGCTTCCAATTTCAGCATTGGAGCGGTCCTCTCTCAGGAACAAGATGGCGTTGAAAAGGTGATTTCTTTCTCCAGCAGACGCCTAGGACCTGTACAGGAGCGGTACTGCGTCACTCGACGAGAATTGCTGGCAGTGGTTGCCTTTTGTCACCAGTATAGGCATTATCTGTTGGGCAGAAAATTCCTCCTCAGAACTGACCATAGCAGTTTGGCATGGTTATTCCGCTTCAAATCACCTCAAGGTCAACTGGCTCGGTGGCTCGAGGAATTGAGTCAGTATTCTTTTGTCATTCAGCACCGAGCAGGAAAATCTCATGGCAATGCAGACTCCTTATCTCGGCTAGATACGACAACTTGTGATTGTTACAGTGCTGGGACTTGCTCTAAGTCGTTACCTTGTGGTGGGTGTGCATACTGCCAGAGAGTTGAAGAGCAGTGGGAGAGATTTACAGAGGATGTTGATTATATTGTACCATTGACAGTTCGTGAAGTAACACCCTCTGAACCTGCTACTTGTAACTGGTTGGAACAGGAGGATTTAAAAACTGCACAATCTGAGGACGAAGAAGCGCAACTAGTATCCAACTGGTTGTTACATGACAAACCGGAAGCCTGTGATGTAAGAATCCTCGGTCCCGCAGCTAGGAGTTATTTCCTCAATCTTCAACAGTTTTGTCTTGTCAATGGGATACTCCACTACGAATGGTTGCATGATTCAAGCACACGGTCACTGCGACTGTTTGTGCCAAAAACACTCAGGAGGAGAGTAATAGAGAGTTGTCATGATCCACCATACTCTGGACACCAAGGCGAAAGAAGAACCTTGGAGAGAGTAAAACGCAGCTTCTATTGGTATGGTCTGACAGCAGATGTCCTGCACTATGTATCAAGTTGTGCCACATGTGGTATGGAAAAGAGAGCTTCACGTAAAAGCAAAGCAGCAATGCAGTCCTATATTTATGGTGCTCCACTAGATCGTTTGCATATTGATGTACTTGGCCCATTCCCTGCAAGTTCAAGTGGCAATAAGTACATTCTGGTAATAACTGACCAGTTCACCAAATGGGTGGAGGTGTATGCTGTCCCAGACCAGTGCAGTGAGACAACAGCAAAAAAGCTTGTAGAGGAGTTCATAGCTAGGTTTGGTGCCCCTCTTGAGATACATACTGATCAGGGCAGAAATTTCCAAAGTGATCTGTTCAGGACTGTGTGCAAATTGCTAGGAGTTGCTCAAACAAGGACCACACCTTATCATCCTTCCTCTAATGGTCAGGTTGAACGCTTCAATAGGACTGTTTTGCAAATGATCCGGTGTTATGTCGACAAAGAGCAGAAAACTTGGGATGAACAGTTGCCTCTCTTACTTTCTGCATACCGAAGCACTCCTCACAAAGCCACAGGAATATCCCCAAACTTTATGATGTTGGGTAGAGAGGTACACCAACCTGCCGAACTAGTTTTTAAGGACCCAGAAACAATTCGAGACCCATTGGATACCCCAACATACATCGAGAAGCTTAAATATGCTCTGAGCACAGCCCATGATGTTGCGCGGAAATCACTTCAGCAGGCGCAGATAAAGCAAAAGCGTCTTTATGATCTGCGCATTTCCAGTAAGCAATACGGAGTAGGTGATTTGGTGTATGTCAACAAAATGGCGAAACAGGTGGGTAAGTCGCCCAAGTTGCAATCTGTTTGGGAGGGACCTTTTATCGTCAAAAAGAGATACGGGCCTGTTTTGTACGAGGTACAAGGACGCAAAAAGTCGGCTGTGATTCATCACGATCGTCTTAAGGCATATACCTCGGATTCCGTACCCGGCTGGGTCAACAGGTTTAATCTCCCAGAAGAGAACGACTTGGAAACCATACAGGAATGTCAAGATGAAGTGAACAGTGAAACAGACAGAGCGCCCAACCAAGAAATCATAGACTCAGGTGATTCCCTGGAGGCACCAAAGGAGATTATTGCTGGTCAAGAATCGAGGCCACTGCGGACTCGAGCTGGCCGTGAAATACGTCGCCAAAGTCGGCTTAACCTTTAGTGGACTTAAAGGAGCCTAGAGGGGGGCAGTGTGGTGAAAATGGACCAGTTTTATAGACTTCTTTTATTTTCTATTTTTACAGTGATCTTTTTGGGTTATCTCCCGTGACATAACGCGGGCTATACTGTACACAGAATACAAGTACATTTTGTGGCCAGCTCGCGTTTGATGTTTATTCGCTATATATTGGCGATATTTGTGGTGCCGACAGCTAAAAGCACTACAATATTTATTACTTACGGCAAGTTTATTTCAATTATACGCATAAAGAGTTCTTCAATATCAAAATGAGAACGGAGCCTTGTTTACGGTGAATACGGATCTAGCTTTCTTTCCTACCATACGTAAGACTCGAACAAAATAATATTTTCATGGGACAGAGATAGTATAAGAAGGAACAATTTTATCAAGAATTAATTTAACCATTCTGTGGTGTTTTTTTTTTTTTTTTTGTATGATTGTGGGTCACTGGATCACACGCCGATTGATTCCCGGTGACCGACTTTGCCCCGCCCCTATCGAGGGAGGCGTGTTACATAATTGTAAACACACAAGGTAAATGTTGAAGCCGTGCACTTAATGGCTGTGAATAGTAAATGTGCTTTTTAGTTAAGTTTTATTTTCTCACTATATTGTTTGCTTTTACGTGATAAGAAGAAAAGATGATATTTTCTTCCCCTTTTAGTAGACTTGGTTTATACGATTTTTAAAAAATGAAATAAAAGGGGAAAGTTGTCAGTGAATAAACATGATAATTTGTAAGAAAAAAAGCACAAACACTTCGAGAACTTTATTCTGAAGAATATTAGCATCCAGTGTAGCCATGTTTATTATTTATAGTAACTTGCTTTGGTTATTAGCATGAGAAGCTCTCCTTTACGTGCTGAGTGAAAAGAATTACCTGTGCATATATAAGTCATGCACCAGCTCATTTAAAACAAGACTCGAACAGAATTACAATTTCATGAGATCAGTAAGATGTTAAAGCACAACTTTATAAGCGATAGTCATTTCCAAATATTTACCGTTTTTGAGTTGTAAAGCAAAAACTTTCAAGGTCCCTTGATCCCTATTTATAGGGGCCAGTCCCTTTTGAATATTATTATATTAAAGCCCTTGCAATTATGCACAACTTTTGTTCAGCATGTCTTAACAAAATATTTTTAGTTTTCAAGATAAAAAGGAAAATATGTGTAAATTTTCGCTCTTTTAGGCGTTCTAATTTTTGACCCCTTTATAGTGCCATTGTGAATACAGAAATCGAAAAACAAAAACCGATGTGCACAACTTCAATCCTTCTGTTACCTAAAATCAGTAAAAAGTCTGCTTCAGCTTTTGTGGTCTCTGAGCCTTTATCCGGAAATGAAAGCCTATAAATTTTCGTTTAAAGGGAAATAACTCAAAACCGGAAGTGACTTTTTGAAATTTTAGTCAGCATTCTGGTAGAGTTTATAAACATCTATAACCTCTGAAAATTTGAGCGAAATCCGTTGAGATATGAGTGAGATATGAGGCCTCAAAGTTGCGGTCTAGGAAGTAGAAGAAAAAAAAAGAATAATAATCTTTACCATCAGAATCAGTAGAAGGTCTTCCGTTGGAAACGGAAGACCTTAATAAATAAAGTATTTTGAATAAGTAAATCCTCTAAATTACTCCATCAATATAAAGGAAATACTTTAACATTAAACAGCTTAATTTACTTTTATCTCTAGTCTCTAAGTGTGAAAGAGATAAAACTTTTGCCTTGTTCCCATTATTTTAACATTTTGTTTTGTCAATCTATGTAAAAAATAATATAACAAAGAAAGTTTGAGAAGAAAAATGATCTATTGCATTCAATGAATTTATTTGAAATCAAAGGTATTTACACTTTTTTAGACTTACTGTAGTACCCGTAATACAAATGTGATGACTTTAGTACCAATGGAAAGACTATATATTTAATTCATCAATTAATTGCTGGAATAGCTAAAATTAATAAATTTGCCATTTACTAGGCTGGTACTTAAAACATGCAATTACAAGTACTGTATATTTTTAACTCTATATTTCAGAATCAAAATTTAATCATGGACCCCGGTACCAGTGCCCAGGACGTGATGCGATGTGACCTGTGTGAGACCGCTGTGGTACAGATGCACTGTAATACATGTCTTGTCAACCTGTGCACATCTTGTGTAGGAATACACTTCTCTGCTGATCTCTCAAAACCTCACACAATTGTTGATTTTAAGAACAGAAAATCCACTCCCCTCTACCCTGGGTGTAAATTTCATAACAAGCAACAATGTACAATGTACTGTAAGCAATGTGATATTCCTGTTTGTACAAAGTGTTTAGCATCTGATCAACATCTAGGTCATAAGTTGTCAGAAATCTTGCAAATTTTGAATGAAAAAAAAGAAAAGATTATCAAAGATCAAACTGAGCTAAATAATGTAATATACCCAACCTACCAGGACATTGCCTCTGATGTACAAAACAGAAAGAGTCAGTTACAAAAGGAATATGGAGATCTCTCAACAGCCATAACAAAACATGGAGAGGACTGGCACAGAGAAATTGACAAACTTGTCAGGAAACTTAAAGCTGAAGTTGATGTAATGAAAAACACACAGTTACAAACTCTACAGAAACATCTGGATGAAATAAACAAGACAATGTCTGACATCAAGGATGAAATCGATTCAGTTGATCTAGCTGAGGATTTTAATAACATTTCAAAACTGTTTAGTATTATATGTACAATCAATGTAGAAAGATATAGAAATCTTCCACAAAAAATTTTGCTATCTTTGCCTAAATTCACTCCCGGCAGAATTATTGAAGGAGAACTTGGTAAAATGTTTGGAACCTTATCACCAAGTTCTTTGACATCAGATGAACATGGCTACAGGATGAAGACAACACAGAAATCACCAGAAGCTGGATCCTCTCCTCCTGTCAAACAGCTGCTTGATGAACCAGAGACTGTCACCACCATAGACACTGGGTATGAATTCTTTTACAATGTGGCCTGTCTGAGTGATGAGGAAATCTGGACAAGTGGACACTATAACAACACCATGAAACTCTTCAGCATCAATCAGGGATCACTACTCAAGTCAATCATAACCAAGTCAGGGTACATACCATGGGACATAGCAGTGACAAAAAGTGGAGATCTAGTTTATACTGATTATGTTAGAACTGTGAACATTGTGAAGAATGAGAAGATAGAGGAGGTGATCAGACTACAGAACTAGAGACCTTACGGTGTCTGTAGTACCTCCTCTGGTGACCTCCTGGTTATCATGATCAGTGATGATAACAAACAAACAAAAGTTGTCCGCTACTCTGGCTCCACAGAGAAACAAACCATTCAGTTTGATGATAAAGATAAACCTCTCTATTCATCTGGGAATTATTACAGATGCATAACAGAGAACAGGAACCTGGATATCTGTGTGTCTGACTGTGGAGCTAATGCAGTAGTGGTGGTCAATCAGGCCGGGAAACTGAGATTCAGGTACACTGGACATACTCCTGCTCCAAAGAACCAACCATTCAGTCCAATAGGAATCACCACAGACAGTCAAAGTCACATCCTTACAGCTGATAATAACAATGACTGTATCCACATCATAGACCAGGATGGACAGTTCCTCCATTATATAGACTGTGGACTGAGTTATCCCTGTGGACTGTGTATAGATACAAATGACAATCTGTTTGTTGCTCAATTAGGAAACAGACAAGTGAAGGAAATCAAATATCTAAAGTGAAATCCTACTCCTACTAAATACAAGTAAAACACAAGAAGATGCATGTAAAAAATTTCATAATCCCATTATATTGTTATTATACAACAATACTTGTATAACAATACATGTACCATCAATGTTATATCCATGTTTTATTAAAGAAACATGTATGTCTCAAAAGTTTATTAATCTTTACATTTTATTGATGTTAAGAGAGCTGAGTGGGGTTTTATTGTGTGGAAAGTACAATAGAGAAGCTCTTAATTTTATACCATGTGAAACTAACAAGGACTTCAGTATACATGCCAAGTTTAGGGAAATTCTACCATCTGGGTATTTTTAGGGAATATCTTTTGAGTACTATGATGTAAGAGTGCAACGATAAACCGTTTGACGGTATACCACGGTTTATTTTTCCACGATTTGGTTCTTGATACGTGAAACTTATATCACGGTTCGATTCAATTGGTCTGTAATTATCCGAATCATCCGTTTCGGTTCGTCTTTTACAATTTCAAAATGGCTTCCGCACGAAACATGGGTTTAGTGAAACTGCAGCAACGGCAAATAAACTTGTATCCAGTCTCATATCTAACGGGTCGAAGGATGTTATCACTTTCCTAGTGTTAGTGTAATAAGCATTTGATAAAACTTTTGAGTTTAAAGTATATGATGATAAATGTGACGTCTAACTTTTTAACCCAATATGTCATGTATTGTAATACATATCGTACCGTGAACTGAATACCGTGATACATATTGTATCGTGGGGTAGGCGTATCGCTGCACCCCTACTATGATGCCAGATGGAAATTTTCTGTATGAGAAACAATTTATAAGAATTTTACACTTTTAAAAAAATTGAAAGGAAATTCTAGTAAATCTCAGGCTTGATTGATAACTTTACAAGCCGTTTGTCTAGTTAATTTCAAGGTGAGGACATGGAAATATATACTCAGGATTTTACCTGTAAATCTAAATTTCTGCTTCAGTGGTCCACAGATTTCTTCCTCCACGGATGACTGACTTTTCCTGCCTCCGTCCAGAATCCACGGAGTCTGACTCAGAGTGCGGCTGTACTTATTGTATCTACCTGTGGAGGAATTAAAAATAAATATATGCATTCACACAAAAAAAATTGGTCTTATTTCTATTTATTAATAACTATAGATCTTTAGGAATTGTAAACTTTTGATTTTGAAGATTGTTTCTGAATTTTCTGCCTGTGACCTTCAACTTTTCAAAATTATCTTAAAACAAAGTCAAAATACTTTTATTTTACAGGCGTTTTTTTCTCATCATTACACTCCGATATGTGTCAATAATTATCATAAGTCCATATACAAAGTCCATGTATACATGTATTTGGAATTTATCCTGCAAAACAAAGAATGCAATCTAATTAAAATTAGACCTTTCATCTCGCTCTTCGTTTTTGATATGTCGCTTCATGAAAGCGAAGAGCCAGATGAAAGGTCTAATTTTAATTAAATTGCAAAGAATGCTAAATATACTATTGAAAAAAGTCTTTTTGAATGAAAAACAGAAAAAACTAACCTGCTACAAAGACAGCATCATGGACACACTTGATTTCATCACATTTACAGACACTGTTCTCATTGCTCTTAGGGATGCTGTAGTTCCTGTACGATAAATGAATAATTTGTATGATCAATCCTTGATATCTTGCACCCACCAAGAATAACAAAAACAAAGTAAAAGAAATGTATTTCAAAGCACTTTCAGCACTTATCATATTTTTTTGATTGATAAATACTTTTGCAGAATAAGGTCAGATCCAGTATTCCCAGCAAGACTGGTGGTGTGCATCCTTAGATGCATCATCCAAACAAGTTTAAATTTAGGGCTGTTAGTTACTTGAGAATGGATTTACTCCAGAAACATTAATCTGGTCATGAAGTCAAGGTAAGATCAAGCATCTAAAGCAAGTCTGGAAATAAACATCCCTCAATGCATCATCCATGAAATTTTGTTCAAGAAAAGGCTTATAAATACTTGGAAATGGACTTTTTCCCAACTAGAACTGTCCAAACCGGACAAAATACCCTCGCTGGGATTTCAGAGGTGCTAAATCATGAATATTTTATGGATCTAAGAGAAAGGAGAAATGCTAAAACATTTTGAGTGCAAATGTAATTGCTCATTATATTTTTTATAAATGAAACAAAGGTGCAACTTATTAAAATCAAAGTACTCAGAAGTACAGAGAGCCGGGCTCATTTACAGAGTAGAATGGATTTCTTACATG